TAATTAAATTTTAAATCAGCTAAACTTCTTCAAATCAAGTTTCAAAAAAGTATATTTTTTAATGATTTTTTTTTAGTAACGAGAATCAGGGTGTATTTAAAGATTTGCTAATATTACTGATTTTTAGCAATTTTAATGATTTTAAAAAAAAATATATTGCAATCAATTTAAGTTCAGTTTGAAATACAGCAAAGTATTTTGTTTATTGGAAATATTAAATTTAATCTATTTTGAAAATCAAACTAAAATAAAAAAACTTCAAGGATTTTTCATTTTTAATACCTAAGCTATTGCTTTTCTTTGGAGGTACCAAAATATAAGTGATTTTTTTTTTAATCCTGCTGAGTGTCTAGCATCAGAAAAGCCTTGTGGGAGGGGGTACTGGTTTAGTTGCCAATGATCCAACCATGTGACAGCTAGTACTTGTAGGCAGTACAAGACCTATCAAAAGGCAGATGACCTTTCTTGTAGGGAATCAATGGTCATCAAGCACAATGGAGTAGCCTGTATTCAATAGCTCTGTATGAAGCCAGGGCAGTGACAACATTGCTGGGAAGAGAAATTCCTAAAATGAAGTCAATAGCTAGGGTAGAGGATTCCCCCCAATGAATATATATATATCTGTGACCAAGGTGAGCTTTCAAGTTGGAGGACATAAGCTGTGGTTTGACATGGAAAGAGATTGACTCTGCCAAGTTTACTCACACAAGACACACTAAGTATGAATGAATATCTCTCCAACTTTCAACATAGATACGTGGAGGGAATTAGTCAAGTGTGCAGCTGTGCCATGACTACAACCTATCATGGGACTGGTGATAAGGATTAAAAAAAAAAAAAAAAGACAGGTTTGAAGGCTGTGTAAATGATCCAAAAATCTTAGTGAATTTGCAAATTTTAATTACAAAGGGAAACCATTTCAAAATCCTTTAAAAGGGTAATTGTTAAATTGGTTTAGTTCATGATGTAATAGATTAACTTTCAAGTACAATGGACTAGTAATTTTCACTAAATTAGGTTCCTAATATATTTAACATTAGATTGTTGCTATTGTCATTAATGTATCAGCCAATCCATTCTTCAGCCCTCATCAGGTGTAAACCTTGAGAACAAAAGAAAGTTCTTACCAGATTAAACCAAATAACAGGTATCCCTAAGTGCATTAGTTTACACTGCAAAAATGTGTCAAAGTAGTGAAATTTCCTTCCATCTTAACTGCTAATATCTTGTTTATTTTCAAGGCTATTTTGATAGAATTAGTATGTAAAACAGATTTAATCTTTTCACTTTATAAAAAGATACAATTTTTTTCTTGTGCCTGATGATTAGTTTTTATTCCACATCTTTTTAAATTGTGTCAATTTCAATAATGGATGGTGCTTTTTTCTGAATTTCCGAAGTTGACAATTTCAAATTGGTGTTTTTTAAAACTGGTTGCACTTAAAGTTCTCTCCCTACACATATCAGAATAGTCCCATCTTAAAGAAAAAAGGTATGATAATATTTGAAATTGTCTTTCACAAAAAATTTCTTGGTTGAAATCTGTAGATATACCATACAAATTCAACACACAAAATAAAAAAAATAAATAAATAAATAATGAAAATTGCACCTGTTTCTAGAGCAATATCTCTTCATTAACAATCAGTTGGTTTCATATGTGCATACAACTCAGGGTGAGTTGCACATGAATTAAAAAGTGGTTATATAGCATTCACTTCATTGAGTCCGAAATTTCTATTGCTAACCAAGTGAATGAACATTGCCAGCTGAACACCATTTTAAATCAGACTTGTTTCATTGATAGACATTACAGTTTAAATCTTTTTCTTATATTATTTTAATGATGCATTTTAAAAATGTATAAAGCACTTATTCATTGTATTGTGTCCAAACTGTCATACTCAAATCATATTCACATTGGTTGTTGCTTTTATGCATTTTCTTAATAAAAACGTTAAATAGAATTCATATAAAATAAATATTTAACTGGCATATATTCTTAGTACTTTAAATTTTGTACTCATGTTTGACTGCTAAAAATTAAGATGAAATCTTAAAAAGTGTCCAGTTATTTTAAGGGTCATTTATTTAATTTACAATATTTTTTCTAATTCTCGGGATTAAATTGAAAATTTATTTACATTTTCTTTTAAAAAACACACAAAATAAACAAAAAACTGGATACATTTTAGAAAAAAAAATAAAATAAAAATGAACTGGATATATGTTTAAGCATAACTTTAGTGCGTGAATCCATAAAAAATTGAAATGTAATTAAGTAAATTTCAAAATGTAATCAGTTTCCTTTTTTCTTTTATGATTATTTTAGTTTATTAATTCTAGGGATTAAATCCTATTTTGGAGGTTAACATGAGATTGTTATATTTGCTTTAAAAATGGCTAAATTTTCTTCAACTTTTGCAAACATGCATTGTCTTTTTGTATTTTTTTTCTCTTAAGCCATTATTGTAACTGCATTATAGAAGATAAGCATGGCTTCTTTTTTATGTAATAGTGCTTTCCATACCAGAAAATCCCATCCTTGGTGATTAATAAAATGTATATTTAATCTTCTGTTCAATGTCCTGAATAGTTTAAGTGGAAGAAGCAGGCCAAAGAAAACCCAAAATTATAACAAAGTTAAAAACTTTGTAATGAAGGGAATAGACATTACAGTGATGTAATGGTGATTGTAGTGTTTGGAGATTCATCTTCACCAATAAAGGAACAAATGAAGGAAGAAAAAGTGCTTAGTGAATTTAAGTATTCAAATGACTAGTATTTTTTATGAAGAAACACTTCAAATGACCTTCAGTTACAAGTGCCAAGGCCAATGGCTTGCTATATCCTACTATTCCAACTTTTACATTGACCAAGTTGTTGATATTACATTTCCATCCAGTGCTGTAATCAAAATTTTAGTCCAAAAAACAGAAATGATTATTTTTGATGGCCTTGGATGATGTTACACAAGTGGTTTCAACATTTGTTATTATATAGTACTTTGATATAAAACCACTTGAAAGTGGTGATGGAATATGGAGTGTTCCAAAAATATTGCCTATAACAGACTCTTATAAACAAATTCAAACTGTAAATCACCATTAGTAGAAAAAATACAGGAGGACCATTCCAACTGTCCAGAAAGTTTTTCATCAATTCCAATAAACATATTTTTATTCATTTAATTTTTTTAAATTTGAAGATAAATAAGTTGAAAGCTTTACAATAAGCATTTGTTTGAAGGATTGATCAATGATTCATTTCATGAAATAAATTTAAGTTTTGTAGTTATTAATGTCCTTTTTTGACAACTTAAAAAAATTACATAAATTTCACAAAATTTTTCAAAATTAGATACAGATATGAGAAAGGGTATTAATATTACAGATAAAAGAACTGTTTTATTGAATTCCTCATCCTAAAATTAGTAAAGTTTCAGACATGTGTTACCAATGGATGACTTGTTTTTGCCCTACTATAAAACTGCACTTCTGGCTATTTTTACATGATGTAAGTATAAGTTTTTTTCAATGCTGTACTACTGAAAAAAAAAAAAAAATTAGCTTCATATCTGTTGTTTTATGAATCATAGCAAGAAGGTTACAAGGCATTAACTGCTGAAATGAAACTTATATGAACAGTCAAATATGACCTACTGTGTCATGTTTTTAACTATTTCTTTTTTAAGAATGTAATTTTTCCCTAATGTTTAGGCTGGTTTCATCTAGTAATTATTAATTCCATTAGTATTGTTTTTCTTTTACTTTGAGACTACGTAGATGGCATTACATTAATGATTTTTAATTTTAGCCTAAAGCTTGCATCTTCATTTATACACTGTTAAATTTGGCTTGTAGCCCAATAGCACATGGAAAACTTTGAATGGTCATAACTTCATTGCTAATTGAACTACCAAGACAAAATTAGTACCATTTTTTATGTCTTGTCAAGCTCTTTATGTCTGTCTTAAAGTTATTTTTAGATATATTCAAAATAAAATTTTAGTTTGGAATACCTACATATAGACATCAGAAATTAATGATTCAAGTAGACTTGTCCTTTGCACACTGTCACACGTACTAAATACTTTGGTTATTCCAAATTATCCCAAAGGAAGGAACTCCCAATAATAACTTTAATAAGAAAACCAAATAACATTGAAATTCATGCCAACTTGACTTGAACACATGCTCAGCATGTCCTTCACCCTTTAAAAGCAATACTCCCCACCTTTAAACTGGATCTTATCCGAGAGAGGGTAGTATTTACACTTCTCCCTCCATATTTTTTTAAAATCATACCTTTTGAGTTATAGCTTTCTTATGTAATTGGACCCAAATTTTTAAAAAATCTTTGTGGTGAAGGGAATAGACATTATAGTGATTGGAAATACCTGATTACTTTGTATACCTAACACTGTGGAAATGAACTTGTCTAGTGCATACATTAATGGACAATTTTTGTTGCCACTGGTTTCTCTAAAGAGGTTTTTTTTTTCTCTCATGGATCACAACTGGCAAGGACTGAAAAATGAATTGGCCAAATGGCTGTTTTTAAAAACAACAAATATTTGAATGTCCAAATAATGTTAGATATATTAAGGACTCTTCTCAAAATTATAGACAATTTTCTAAATATATTTTTTAAAACTACTTCAAAACACAGAAGCATTATTCATGTAATCACTGACATAAGTTCAACTCAAGAATATAGCTTATTTTAGAGGTGGGGGTGGTCAAAAGAGTAAATACAATACTTTTGTTCATTTTTAAAGCAGCAATAGTAATGGCTCTGAATTTGAACTTTTAATTCTTTCATTTGCAGACTTTCACGCTTTAGTGCAGCTATGACAATCATCTGAACAAATGTGTATCTTAATTCTTTTAATTAAATCTAATAGAAGTATTGTCTGAAAGATTGTGTTATAAACTATGTAACAGTGTCAAAGAGCTATAATGTTCATTCAAACTAATTAAGAATGAGAAGCTACTTACCAGAATTGAGGCTGTCCAACTTGGCTGGGAGACCACACTGAACAGCAGCAATTAGTTTCAATGCGATATAAAATTGACTACGACCAAAATGTCCCAATCTTTTTGCACCACACAATTCAGAAATCTGAAAAAGAAACAAAAAAATATTAGAGTATATTAAGAACAAAAACAAATAACATGCACTATTTTTATTAGTGAGTATGTGTAAACATTCCCAGTGCTCTCTTTTGAGAACTAGAAACAAAGTACACAGTTGAAAACCAGTTTTGAAAGGTTGGCATTTATTGTTTATTCTACATTAAAAAAAACAAACAAACAAAAAACAAGAAAAATGGCAGAAAATAAGAAAAATGTGCACCAGTGTATGTTGTTCCTTTTCAAATTGGACAAGACAGCAGCATAATCAAAAATGAATGTTAAAACCTATTGAGACAGATCAGTTGGGAGCAGTATATATCATGAATGGCTTGTGAAGTTCAAGAGAGGTTAATTTGATTTGGAAGAATTTGGAAATAATGATTTGCAATTTATTTTAGATGATGACATATTTCAGTAAATGTTAGGAATCAATGAAAAGCTTATCACTCACTGAACAGTTGCAAGACATTTGAAAAATCTGGGTAAGATTTAAAAAGCAGAAAAATGAGTTCCACATGAACTATCAAGCTGAACCACTGGACAGTATTTTATCACCACCACCCCCAACACACACACACACACACACACACACTGTATTTCACTTTTTATAAGGCATGATAATTCTTTTTTTCTTTTTCTTTTCTGGAAGATTGTCACTGGAGATGAAAAGTAAAGTGATTACAATGATCCAAAACCTCAAAAATCATGGGTGGATCCAGGACATTATGAAGTATCAACATTTTTGGCAGGGGTAGTGGGGGGATTATTGTTCTATATCTGTTAGATTATTAAAGGCATACTACATTACAAATTGGTGAAACTATTACTATAGAGTTTTATATAGTTTTTACCTTAGAGGTATGAGTACTGCAATTGAAAAGATTGAAAAAGAAAAAAAAAAAACAACAGTTAAAGCATGGGGAATCTGGTAAGTCAGACTGAGAACATGAGATTGTTTGGTCAAATAAATATAATGAATTTGGGATGGGAAATTTTTTCTTGCATGATATATTCAACAAATAGGTTATCATTAATTGTCATCAATGAAGCATCCCTTATCTGGTCAAAAGTTTAAAGATGGCTGACGTTTAAAATTTAATTGAAAACTATCACTGCAAAACCAAGCTGTTTAATCAAATTAAAATTTGAAAACTTACAAATGTTGGCATACACTCAAAGAAAGTAAAGGAAAATATTTTGATGATTAATAAATATATGAATTTGTGATAAGTAAAATTAATTAAGAAAAATTTGGAAACTTTATACATGCCTAATAAGGCAAAAAAGAAAAAAAAAGAAATGATCACATAGCATGGACAGAAATGAACAAATTGATTGGAACAAATAGTTAAGGCTCCACTCTGGCTGACATTGACATTTATAAGCTTGCCATAAAATATTTCCACCATTCCTAGATTTAACGAAAACTGCTTCAGTGAAATAAAATTATTATTAACATTAATAATAATAATAATTAGTAGTAGTAGTATGAAGATGAAAATGATTAAGAAAAAAATGTTGACAATGAAGACTTAAAGTAAATAGGCCAGAGTTTCATAAATTCAGCTTTCAAAATATGAGAGATTTTGGACAAAAGGTGATTTTCTAAGCATACCTTAAATGTGACACAAAGTTGAAAGTATGGGACACCCAGAGGATCAAAGTCACTACTCAGTAGTAATTGTTCTAGTGAGACAAGCTTGCTAACCATTACACTACATAGAGGTGGCCAACTAGAATAAGCTTACAAAAAAATGTGCCACAATGACAAGACCTATTTATACTATTGTATTCCTTAAATCTTTCAATGTAGGCTTGAACCCATTTGCTGCCATTGACACAATAACTACTTTTAAAATAATGTTATTCTTATAACATTATAAATAAATTTGGCAGTGAACCGATTAAACATATCATGGGCTCTTAATAAGAAGCTTAATGGCTTAGATTACAATCAAATACAAAACTGTATGGTAGTCTTTTTAATAGAAAAAGCTCTAAATTGATACACATCTAAATTAGAATCAAAGCAGTTGCTGACTGATTTAACTTTACAAGACCAAAAAGATTGATCCAAGTATGCATATGTCTCCAGATGTGGCTTTCACAAAACATCACTGTTTATTACTTGCTCAAGGTCAGAACTGTGGAATTAGTCATAGTAAAACAAAAGGAACTCCAGGTTTTAAAAATAAAAGGAAAAAAGTTTTAAAGCCTGACAAGGATAAAGAATCATAAAAACTGCCCTCAAAATGTTTTGATATTAACCATAAAACCAACTTTACATTCTCTCTCAAAACAACCAGATTTTATTTCTCAAAGCCAAGTTTAATGGATTGCGGCATATTAAGGATTCTCTTTGGCAATCAACTGTAAATAAACTCATACAAACAAAGTATTATGTTCAGTTTCTTCAAAGATTTTTTTTTTACCAAGGAATAAGTATTGTTTATCTTTAACTTATTCTGAAGATAAAAACTCATATAAATTTCTTAAAATAATAAATGAAAAAGGTTTTACTAGTACCAACCAAAGCAATTGAAACTGAAGAGAGAAAATGTCCACTCTAGTCAGAAAGTAACTGAGTGTTCAAAATGAATCTCTGATATTCTAAATGTTATAAAGAAAAAGAATAAAACAAATAAGCACTGCTGACTAAATCTGATTTCTAGCCTATAAAGTGTAAGGGTATCAATCCTGTCCACCTAACAAGAGCTCTGAATTTTAAATTTGAATAGTTTAAGGCTATTTGAGTCCTACCACTTGTTAGGGTCAGGGAAAGCACAAAAACCAGACATATAAAAACCAAACATATAAGTGTTATCTTGCATGAGTATTGTTCAACTCAAAACTTCTAGGTTGTGACATGTACCACCTAAATTTCTATTTTTATTTTTTTTAAATTTCTATCACCCCAAGCACCCCAGTAAAGCCACTAAGACACCAGGGGTTACAGGATGTGGAAGAATTAGGAACAGAAACATTAATAATGAGCAAGAAGTGAAAAGAGTAATCAGGAGGACAGTAGATAGCAATTGACATTGCAAAAGAAATTGATCTTGTCCAAGAACTTAAAATAATTCTTTGCATCTATTTTGAACCATTATCATTTTTGAAGGGAATTATAATTTTAATGCCTACAATACAATATTAGCAAAAAATAAATAAATAAATAAAACACCACTACATCTATTGTCTTATTTAGTATTGATTGATTATTTCCATGGTGTGCTCATCTGTCAAGTTTATCCAATATAGCTCTACATTCATACATTAATCACTAAAAACTACTGTTCAAAAATTAGTTTTCATATACTTCATCCAATTCATACATGTTCTCTTTGAGAGATTTACTTTATGGTGTTAGTTTGGTTGCTTATGTCTTTAACCAATGTTCTTAATATTCTACATCTTTTCGCTTCTTTATACCAATTTCTTCAAATAGTTCCTTGTTGGCCAATCCACTTATTTTGCTTATTAATCTTAATTTTTCTCAAATCTTCTTTAAACATTCTTAAACACTATTTCATCTTGTTCTTGTCTTGCCAATGTTTTAAATTTCCAATGCAGTGTTATTTCTCAATAACCTTACATAATGTTTCTATTTTGAGGTTACAGTTCTTTACAACCTGCAACGACTTTCAGATTTTTTCAATTTAAAAAATAAATATCAATAACTATATTATATTTATTTAAATAACAACGCTAAAGTTGAAAAAGAAATTCTTATAGCACCAAATAAATTACTCTAAATATTTCTGCATATTTTGAAAGTTTTCCATTTTTTTTTTCTGTTGATTAACTAACAGAAAAAAAATGAAATATCCAAGTTAATTGTGAAAACAGTAACATAAAAAATATCACTTCACCCTAAGCAAGGCAATAAAGCTATTAAGATGCAAGTAGTTACCAAGAGTGAAAGAACATGAGAAAAAGAAAACATTAAGGAGAGAGAAAAAGAAACGAATTGGAATTAAAACAATTGACATTGCGTTTACATTTTTGAAGAACAAAATTGGCTGGAAAGCAAGAATCCAAAAAAGAGTTCCATAATTGAGAAATGCAAAAGAAACTGTTATCATAGAACTTATAGTTATATCTAGCCATTTTAACTGTAAAATGATGAGACCTAGCTGCCAATCTAGCACTGCATTTAAATTGGTAATTTAAGACTCGCATCATAAAATCTGATACAGTGTAACATTTCAGAGAGTTCATGCCAATTTATAAAAAAAAAAATTCCTCTTTTCATCAGAAAAAGTAACATCTTTAAATTTAGCTGGATATCTGGGAATATTAAACTGCTTATTATTAATGATTATTACATATAATTTTTGAAATTTTATCTTATTTCTTCATCTCCCTTATTGTTTTTTTTTATCACATTTTTAGTTAATGTATTCTTTGGTTATTAAATAAAATTGCTGATATACGAAATGAGAAGTCAAGTCTCATCGAAAATGACTTTCCTCTTCCAAACTCTGAAAGTTTCATATAACATCTGAAAAATAGATAAACTAAAGACTTACTAAAAAAAAAAAAGATGAAACTAGCTAAAACTGATAGGATATGTTTAATAATAAAAATACTCCACTTCATTTCACAATATGAATGATAATTTTAGGAATTATTCCTATTATATGTTTTGCTATTCAAACCAGCAAGCTCATCTTGGTTGTTATAATCACAATGTTTCAGCTGCTGTACTCTTGGACATTCTTCAGATGTCTGTCTTCACACTAGGGGAACTTTTTGGAATTTTGAACGGAACCCATTATTCAATCCAAGGGCATAGCTTACTCTCAATTCCACTTTCTATGATTTGGGGATATTTTGTATCAGTCTCATTCACCTTTGTCTTGCTTGTTCATTTTTGCCATTGAAACAGAGTATATGACTGTTCAGCACCTCCACACTTAGGGATTGAACTCACAACTACCAGGGAACCAGATATTTTAATCTATTAAGCCATGTCTCTTGCACTTT